TCTCGATCACTTCGTTCTTGAAGTGAGAACCGCCATCTGACACCTATGTGTCAACGCAGCCGAACGTGGTAAACCATGTCATTAGACACTGAGCGGTCGCGGCGGCGTCAGCGGACTCTGCCGCGAACTGCTGCACAAAGCCACTCATGTCGTCCTTCACGACAAGCACTTGTTTTTGGCCAGACTTGGCCATGGGCATCGACAACCAGTCGAAATGGATGAGCTCGTTCGGCTTCTCTGCGTGAAGCGCCGAACCCAATGGACGGGGAACCATTTATGCGTCAATGCACAGGCAGTGAAAACAGGCACGCACGAACGCTTCGACGTTCGTGGAAAGAGTGTTCCACACAAACTTGTCGGACACCGACTTGGTCGTCGCTGCGATGCGACGGTGACCGCTGGCTCCTTGGTGAGCGATCACACAAATCTGCTGCTGTAGGTCGACAGCACCATCTGGGATCCAGATTCGTCCGTCTGGGTCCAAGTAAAAATGGGAGTCGTCGTCCTAATCCACGCCGTTTGGGGGGTCCCTCCCCATTCCATGGTTGAACGTTGGATGTCGCTGATCGTAGCGGCTATCGGCCACTCGAAATCCACTTGTTGCAGGGGCGACACCACATGGATCAACTTGCGAACATTTGCAACTGGTTGATCCGTCGGAGCCGAACCCCATCGGCTCAGGAGGTCGCCCCATACATCCGCGTCACCCGAGACGCACTCAATGGTGTACGGAAGGTCGACATCACCAGCGACCATCGCTGCAGCTTGTCGGCCTGGTACTTGGTCATGTTGGCGTTCGAGCCACTTGGGTTGAAGATGTATACCAGGTTGCGGTGATCCGTAAACAGACGGAAACCACCAGGGCGTACGACCAGGTAGTCGAGTCTCTGGCACGACTCGACCACGGCATAGGCCTCCTTCTCTGGGCCAGCGCGCACTCGCACCAGAAAACGACCCACTGATGAACGCGAGCGGCTGGTGCCGCTGGTCTTCGAAAGGCAAAACCAGGTCCGCTGGCGGTACTTGAGTGGCGATCGCACCCCAAAACAGGTCATTGGCGTCCGTGAAGACGCAGACCGTCATGTCTTCTCGCGGGTGCGACAGGGGCACCACGTGCGCCAACGCGTGTTTCACCTCGTTGAAACACTTGAGATGATCGGACGACCATCCCACGGCAGGGAGTGCAACACGCACTAATGCCGTTTTCTTGCAGCTTCCGGCTGCCTTGGTGGCCACGTCGAGCAGACGTCGCAACGGATCCACTAGCTGGTTGTAGCCAGGGATGCTCGCACGCATCCCGTCGGTGGCACACACAAACTGCTGGAGGTCGGCCGCAGTCGTCGGCGGCAATAAATCCACGTGTCCTTGAATTCGGCTTGGGGAATGGGTGATTCCATCGGCCAAAATCACCTTGCCACACCATTCTGCCTCGCGCAGGAAGAAATGACACTGCTTCGGGCTCAACTTGAGTCCAAACTGGGCACAGATGGACAGGACTTGATCCAACAAGTCGAGCAACTCGTCCGTCGTCCTGGCGGACCACAGAAAATCGTCTAGCCAGGCCAACAGGCCTCGAAACAGCTGCTCACCAAACATTTGGTGGACAACCGACTGGCAGTACGCAACAGCGTCCGTCTGTCCCATGAGCACGCGGATCGGGGTGTACACGCTGAAGGGTGTCATGAACGAGAAATACATCTGGCTGTCCGCATGTAGCGGCAACTGCCAGTAGCCCTTGGTCCAGTCCAACGTGAAGTACGCGTTCGTTCCGTCCAGACAGACCATCGCGCTGTCCAGGTTTGGCATCGGCCAAGGCATCAGCTCCGTGCAGGCGTTGATCGGCTTGCTGTCGATCGTCATGCGCAAGTCGCCGACTTCTTTCTTCGGCACGATCCTTGGGGCTGCGGCCCACGTAGCCCGGTTGTTTTGGTATACCATGCCATTCGCTTCCAGGGCAGCCACATGGCCGCGCACGTACTCCACATGCAGTGGCGGGTACCGCCGCATCCCACACTTCACCAGCGTCGAGCCAGGTTTGATCCGAACCTTCATTGGCTCGACCTTGACTGGCAGATCGTCGCCCAAGTCTTCACAGAACACATCAATGTGTTTGGCCAATAAGTCGTGCAGCCGCGTCGCTTCAGCGGGCGCAAGCCCGCGTGTCTCCGCCTCGGCTGCCTTGGTCGTCAGAATGGCTTGAACGGCGCCCTGCATCGTGTGGCGGCGCCCCGCCTCGTCCTCAGAGGAGGCTTTGGGATAAACCTCCAGAGTAGCACACTCACCACACTTCAAGCAGCCCTTCTTGGCAGAGGGCTCGGCATTCTTGGGCACGTTTGTTTCGGCCTTTCCGCCGACTCTGCCATTGTTCTTAGCGGCGTCTTCCCGGCCGCCTTCACGTCTTGAAACTTGAGGCTTGCCGCCTCGAGGAGCTTCTACCGGTTTCGCTGCCGGGGAAGATTTGGACTCGTCGTCGAGTCCCACGTACAACTGGTGGCCAGCTGCAAATGTTCGCAGCCAGTTGACGTAACGGAAGACGTCGCTCTTCAACGCCTTGTTCCGCTGCAACTGCAGCTGCTTTTGAACCGCTGTCTTCAGCGATTCCGGCTTGATCGACTTCGTCATGACTTCGACGACCAACTTGCCTTCTTGATGGAGTACCCACTCCTGATGGTCTTGTTCCAACGAGCGCATCAGCTCGTCTAGCATACCACTGACACGGGACTCCGCGTCCAAGATCTTCGTATCGAAACGAATCGCTCGCTGCAGACGTTGCTTCAAAACGTCCAGGTCTTGAGGGTCTTCCTCAAACGCTGACTTGAACTACGCGACGCACTCATCGTTCGTGATGGCATCGTGGTCGCGGTTGAAGTCGAACAGCGCGATCCGGCGCTTCGACAACGGGTTCATGCAGGCATTCACGGGCATCGCGAACGGACGCGATCCATTGCACTGCAGAGCGTTGATCTGCCCCAGATACTTCTGGTACTCGCGCATGAAAGCGCGTCTTTCGGCCTTGGTCGAGCCCGAAAATGTCGGCGGCTGCGGGAGCGCCGGCGTGTTCCAAACTTGCGGCGCCGTACGGCCGTAACCACTATCGCTGCCCATGTCCGTATCGTCACGGACATCCAACGGGTTGTTTTCGGCTGGCAACGGCACTGAAGCGCCATCTGCTTCAGTCGTTGGTGGAGCAGCAGCTGAGACAAACGCTGTGACAGCTGGTGTTCCATGGTTTGTGGCAGGGGCGTAAAACCCACCACGTGGCGGTCGCCACTCGTCGACAGCAGGTGGCTGTCGTCGTCGGGGAGATCTGAATGGGTTCTCAACGGTGCGCCGAGCGGCGCGTCCTCGCGGCTCCTCGATCCGGTCACGCCACCGCGATCGTTCTTCGGCGTTCGTTGTTGTTTCCTCGTCGAAGGAATGTTCTCGTACCATCTCCAGTGAATAGCTCAACAATGAACTAAATATATCTTTGTTTTGTCTCCCGCTTCTTCTCGGCTTTCGGCCACGGGACCTTCGTAGCAAATATAACACACTGACATTAGTGAGGTTAACACTTGTAAACACGCCACGAGGCGCCTACTGACTACCATTCACTAAAGTATTCAGTACCTCCACTAAGTATCGGAGCCTTTGACACGAAGTGTGTGTTAGCAATGGGTCAAACTAACGCGCAACCCAATTGTTCTGCACGCTGCAGAACAAAGTGGCAACATTCTACTGGTAGTACACAAGGGAGAATTGGGTCGATG